CTCCCGAATATATTTACAATAAAATCTTTATTTGGAAACGTAAAACATGATCATTTTATTTAGACTTTCTTCAACAGACGTACAAGTACTTATGAGACTGACTGTAAATTATACACAATTGTTTCATGTATTATTCAATTTAGTAACAAGTGAAGTATTTTTGTATTTAACTGGAACAGGTGTCTCTAAGACAAGTCATTTAACCAAACGAAGTTAATCCAAACCATGATAGAATCGAGGTGGGTTTTGAATGAGCCCAGAATAAACTTTATGGATATACATATTCATAATGAAACATTTATTCGGAAATATCAGGCTCACTGTTTAATTTCGACAAATGTGTTCGATAGAGATAAAGGGTACGAATAGATATGTGACTGACTGTAGGTGTCGTAAGTAGGGTAGGTATAGGTATTTGTTTGGCAAATTGGGAGCCTTTTTGTGGAGGAAGTACTTCAGTACTTGAGTAGTTGGATAGTGGTTTACAAACTTTTTGAAGTCGCTTGGTTTGGGAAAACAAAATATTTGATAGAAATTTATAGACTCGAATGTTTGTTGGGTCCATTTTAATTAGTTCGAAAAGCAGTTGCGGTCTAATTGATATTCGAGTATTTAAAAATTGAGGCGAACTGATGTTGTAACTGTAAGTATCGAAGTTTCTCGAGCATGTGTAGTACATAACGAGACCGAGAATCCCAAGGTAAACATTCCTAACATGCGAACACTTGGAAACCAGTACATAAAGTGGTCCTGAGCGGCCAATTGAACACGTTCTAACCATGAGTATCTTGGGTCTTCAGACGATATTCGTTTCAATATCAAGAAACTCTATATCTATACTTGATCTTACAACTATCGCCAAGTTACATAATTTCATCTAGGGCTTCAAATGTTTAAATCAAGTTTAAATATATATTAACTTTCTAAAATAAAATCGCGATTTAAACAGCAAATCAATGTTCATCATAACACAAAATATTGCCATATCGTTATAATTTGTTCAAAAATTATATATTTGATCTTAAAATTATCGTCAAGTTACATAATTTCACCTAGAGCTCCAAATATTGAACACAACCCAAAATTTGTGAATATATATTAGCTTTCTAAACTGAAATTACGATTTAAACAGCAAATAAATTTTCGTCGTAACAAAAAATGTTGGCATTTCGTAATAATTTTATCAAAAATTATACATTCGATCTGAAAATTGTCACCATGCCATTTCCATAGTATCTACAAAATCCTCTCGTTTGCAATGGGGTTTTCTGAAACAGGAAACAGTTAAGAAGCGTTCCTCCAACCATCGCGCGTAGAACACATCCGAGACGATAAACCCGACGCTGGAACAATAACAGCCGACAATAACGATAACTACGATAAGTTATAGTGAGTTATAACAATAGTAGTAACGACAAGAACGATAATGCCATTAACGACACCGCCGAATCATGAAAAGACGACAGACTCCAACTACGAGAAGATAAAGAACGAGGGTGGAAAAGAGAGCGGATTATCGGAGCGATTGGATTTCTAATCTCGCGAGTTGATACCAACGTTTTTATATCGTGCATCTAAGTTTCATGGGCCAGTCGAGGATTAACGACACACTTCCCAGAGGTAGATCGAAATTTTACAACAGGAGCATACTGGCGGGGGCAGCTTCGATTATCACGCTTATACGTTATCAATGTAACGTTATCGAGTTTGTCGGTTGTTACAACGTGACGAATCGGGTCGCCGGAATGCTCGATTAGCAAATGGCGTGCTACACCAGCTACATGGCGTTGCAGATCCTATCTCGGATCCGTGCACGTGGAAAGCAACCGGCTTGTTAATATCTGACACCGCTGAATAATAATTTTACAGTCGCTGGGAGTCACTGGACTCCGGGAGCCCGATAATTTTTGTAATATGTTTAACAGTTTCATTACCAAATTAATACTCTTGAAAATCTGTAGGTGGTTAAAACTTTGCTTCGATATTTATTTTCTTCGATATCTTAATTACTCTGAGTTTTATCAGAAATCCTAAGAGAACCTAAGTCAAAATCAAATAAATTTCTCAATAGAAGGCTTAGTAGCAAAGTTTTATTGTATTTTATCTTCATTGCTCTTCCATTTTTATAAATAATTGTGACTTAATTCAAACTTTATCCAATGAACTGCATTCTATTTTCAATTACTTCTATGTAATTAATCCTCTGACCAAATGGTTGTCTACGTGAAATTATATAAACAATTCGCAGCAACTTTAAGTTACACTAATCGAATCTGGTCGATTAAGACTAAATTGCGCAAATATTATTGATTTTCAAGATTAATTTTTAATTTAACTGTCTATATCGTGGTATAATATATTCCAAAATGATTTATAGTTCTGTCGAAGAAACTTTAGGAAGCGCATGTTGTACGACTCGAAGCATTTCGAATGTTCCGTCGCAGTCAATACGGAATAAGAACGTTCAAAGTCTTTTGGTTCTTTTTTTTTTCTAACAAAGACTTGAAGCCAGAAATGAAATTGGAATTTATGTGAACTGCGCGAGACAAACTTCCCTGCGGCTCCGTCGTAAGACTTCCGGAGGTTTTCCGGTTTACCTTTTGAAGCGAAATGAGGAAAACTTTCGAATTGAACTGGGCATGTTTTGCGACTACCTACAAGTCGACCTAGAGTTGGCAAAATTTTTGTATAACATACACCGCGACGAAATTGCATCGGTCCAAATTGTCTCGCCAAGACCAACCGTGGAAACTTTAACGCGCGATTCCCATGACGTTCTTCATTTCTCCGTGAAATTCGTTTAAATTGCGTGTTCTGTCATGTGTTCATTGAATCTGTAAAAAAAACCCCGACGAAACTGCAGAACGACGATGAAGCTTGAGCGTAAAGCAGCGAAGCGTTCTACATCGCGCAAATACGGACGGAAATGTTCGAGGAATTTCAGATTCGAATTTTATATTGCACGATGTAGTTGTAAATCAGAATGAATCGAGTTACTCTGACAATAAACTGTACATTTTGCTCGTGTTTTCTCGTTACGAAAATTTTTACAAACAAGTCGCACCGACTGGACATTAATTTTCAATCGACTTTCGACTAGTAATGAATTTCAATCAACTTTAGTCCGATATTTTCTAAAGTTACGAGTTTAATTCTGACGTCGAACAGCTGAGAGTAAGGTACTAGTTTAACGATCAATTTTTGTTAACGCACTGCGAAGGAAATTTTAGACAGATAACAAGTAATTCATTGATCGTTTATTTTTTCTTCGTTTTAGTAAAATCATGGAAAATGAGGTTCGAGTAATTTTACGTTATTGCTGGAGGCAAGACTGAATATAATATTTTCTTTGCTGCTTCAGTAATCTTAACGACTTCAAAAAATTACACAAAATGAAACAACGTATAAAGTTCGTTCGTTCGTAATATATTATATACTGAAAATATTTATATATCATACATATTATCATCCCTGACCAAACAACTTTCACTTCTCATTTCGAATATATGTACATCATTAACTCGGCATAATTTGAATTAACTTTAATTAAACGAAACCGCAGATATTAAATTCCTCTTATCGTATCTTCTCATCATATTTTCATCAACTATGATTAATCAGCAATGTAATACTGAAGAGTGTTAAAATATCAGTCTTTATCGTTACGTACAAATGTGCATTACATTTACTTTAAAAATGTATCTTCTGTCATTTGACTAATAACCGAAAACGATCGTGCACCACTGTTTCAAACTATATGCCAATTGTCATCGAATTATCATCGAGATTCCAGATTCTCTCACACCTGCATAAAGCATATCGACCTCTCGCATTTTCAGCGAGATTCCTCTCAGAATGTTCTCCGTGATCGGGCGTACTCTTTGTGAATTTTCGCCTGACGCGTTGAAAAAAAAAAAAAGAATTATAATTCGTAGACTCACGCGGCAAAGTAAAAGCGTTTCCCCGCTGAAGCCAGCAAATTGGCTACAGGCTTGGGAAAGCTTTCACAGTCGATCGCGGTGTGTAAGTTTCTGACCCCGTTCCGCGCGCCGTGCCGATGCGAACTTTCAGCATCCGTATTCCTGTTTCATTTATCGCTCGGGAGAATGTCCAGCGATTTAGGCGAGCAGAGCGACGTATCATGCAGAAGCGAGCAACGATGTAAAGGAGAGAAACGTACGTCGGAGGATGCATAGTGAGGCGTTCAAAACGTTACTACTGTGAAATAACTCGCCGCCTTATTGTCGCACTGAAAAGCGTCGAGGAATATTGAGTTTACCGAGGGCAGCGTGTATAGGATGCCAGTGATGAATGAAATTCTCATCTGGATAACGAAATTTTAATATTCATTGAAAGATAAACAACATTTTATCCGGTGGTTGTTCAATTACTCATTCGTTCAGAGTGAATCGCAAATGGATTGTATAAGACAGATCGTAAATTTGTTTGCATAATACTATAATGACAAATAGAATATTGATTTTATAAACCCAATTGTAATTTCCTTTTCAAGCAAAACGTAAATTCACCGTACAATTCAAATTACCTTTTTCTTTTTAAGTAAAACACAAACCAATTGTATATTTCAGTTACTGAATTCTTGTAAATAAAACAAAATTACAAATGATCTTTAAATTCTTGTAAAATACCAGATATGCTCACAAAGCTTACAGTGTTAATCACAATGGTATTATTTTGACACGCTACCCTTTCGAGTTAAACGAAACTTGTACGCTTCAATTGCGAGTGGCGCGGAACGGGAATTTAACTACGCTGCAAGAAGCTTGTTTGTTTCCGTTACAGGAGCAGGCTCGAAGAGCCGATTACTAACGATGAATAATTAAGAGCGTTTAGGCATTGTTTCATTTTATTCGTTCCACGTTTCCGCGAGGCAATAAAGGAGCGAGCTACTTCGAGCGGGAAATTTAAGCGGTCGAACGAGTCGAGCCCATCGAATATTATGCACGAAATCAAATTTCTAAGGATGAAAGGATGCGTACCTTGTAACCTAAATAGGCGAGTAGCAGGGCTTCCGTAAGCGATACTATTGCAAGGATCACCTGGACGACCCACAATTCCAACGGTCTTCTCACCCATAAAATCGCGTCCCAGTTGATGGTCGGATGCTCCTGAAATTCTTCCTCCGTGAGGTTCTGGGACGCGAGGAACTCGGTCTTGTTGCCGGGCGTGCAACCATAACTAGAAAAAGGATTTTTAAAAGTGGCTAATAAAGTTCCAGTAGCTGCGGACAGGGTAGACATTTTTTAAAAGCTTTCGTCACAGTTTAGGGAAGTTGGAACCGAAAGAAAATTTTTAAAAGCATCAGTCGATGATTAAAAACTAACTGGCGGAACTTCTCGTTCACGCTTGGTCTACTGTTACGAGAAATTAAGAGAATTATTAATGAAACATTATTACACGAACATTACTTAGGAATATTTACTGTGATAAGAATACTAAATTTGTATTTTTTAATTCAAATTGAAGGACGGAGTTTCTAGTATCTAATAGATAATTATTATTTTTATTCATGTATGTTACGTCGTTTGGGAATTATGGCGTCCGCGCTCTTGTTAGACGGACGAATACAGTGTCACCGAACGAATGAAAAACGCAATAAAGGAAGCATAGAAAAATATTACGCTCGGAGAGACAGTAATTTACAAAGTATAAGAGATAAGGGACGATATAGAAACAGAGAGGGTACGAGAAAGCAGCTAGAGGGATAGATGGGATGCAGAGGTGGAGCGTCTAGGAACCTTAGCGCTTTAAGGAGTATCGCGGCTCTTAGAGACTCGCGGCAGGAAAACGCAATACCGTTTCAGCTGCAAAGTCTTATCTCGACTTTATTTTCAGCCACGACCCTCGTTCTACAAAATATCGTAACCTTGCATAAACGTTGCGTTCAAATCGCGAGCCGGAATGGGTTCTTTTGCCCTGCGAAGAAATTCTTCTGGGGTCGTTGTGTCGCTGCGAAACGTCCCCGATAAAACAGTAGGAAGATCTTGATAACAAAAGCCGTGCGTTCGCTTTTGCGAAAAATTTAGTCATCTTCCGCTAAAGCAATATAGCAAGCCTCTAATCAAATGTATAAATTCAGGGCTTAGCGGAATCTTCGTTATGCGAAGGTTTAATGAAACGACATAACGGCAAAGAAATTTTCCAGGATTCCATTAAAACGCATAAACAGAACATAGTGGCGTTTATAGGCTTCTGTTTTGTATAAAATGCAATGGTAAATTGTTCTAAATGATAAGAAACGCGCTAGAAAGGAAAATTTTATTAGACTCAACTCAAGCGTTATCGATTACAACGTCTCGACTCTTGGATTCGAGTCGTGCTGTGACCAATTGCAACAATAATTAAGATCCGTGGTTCTGTACTTTTCACTAACACGAATGTAAAAATTATTTAATAAATAGTTTGATAGATATGGCGCTCCAGTCTTTTCTAGGGTAAGCATACATATGCATTCAAATTCAATATAAACATAACGCAACTCACCAAGTCGCGTAAGTTGGGTCGTTGTCGGTGATGACTCTGAATATGTATAAGAAGCATGTTAACAGCTTAAAAAACAGATTTGCCAATCGTATCCTCAGACCTGAAACAAAAAAAAAGAAACTATCATGTTTAAAGAAATTCGCTGTTTGGTGTGTGGCCCAACATATAATGTAACATTGTAGAAGTAGGTTTTTTTTACTCTTAGATAGATGTCTTCTAGAGTATTCAGAGATTTCAAGAATATTTAGATAATGTATAATTCTTTTACTTTGTTTAATTGCTATTGGGATTTGTATCGCTCCTAATGACTCTTCACTACCGCAAAGAGAATTTTTAAGTGTAACTGAACCAACTACTATCTTAACATTTGTAGAACTATTCCCGTAAATAGTGCAAATTTCGTTTATGGTATCGCTGGTACTGTTGCCTGTTTCTTTTTTAAACAATGCAACATTCTTTGATTTTCCATACTAAAAAGTGTAAGAAATAGAGAACAACTCTACAATCCGAATAAAATATCGTCCACGATAGTTAGACGAAATTGTTTATTTGTATAAACAGTGCCAGACTGAACAACTGAGTGTAAATCGCGAGAGAAACTTTTGGGGCAACCTAATATATCGCGCGGCAGTCGAAGTATTGAGCTTGTAAAGCGAGCAAAGTGGATAAAATGTACACGAATAGAATCACCTGGTCCATTTCGCAACATCGAGTGGCTGAAGTAAAATTTCAGAAAAATTCCTGTTGCGGCACCTGTCGCGCGCTTCGACGGAGCGAAGGTTCGAGCGAAATCAGGAGAAACGAATTTGTCACGTGTCTGAAATGTGTGTCGAAGATTATCGACATCCAACAAGCGGGAAACAGGCTATTTTAATCGTTTCCTTGTAGCGTTGCAAGGCATCGATCTCACCGCGTTCGACGTGCAGATGCGAGGGCGGATAATACGCAGGGATCGAGGCTGGTATCGGCACGTTATCCGTTATCGGCTGCTGTCAACAGCTTCAAAAGATTATGCCTTGCCCCGGCGGACATTCACATGGTTGCCCGTGTCACGATATCATGGCGTTTGCCGAAATTACGTTGCTGGCATGCAACGGGTAACGTGCCTCGGAAAGGAATTTCCGGTGCTGTGAACTTTTTCGCGAACAAAAGCTTGACAATCTCCGTCAGCGAGCGGCAGACGTCGATAAAGGGTAAACGATCTTCTGCTCGTGACGGGCATCGAGTGTTTATTCCATGGGGCTAAAGTGATCCTTCGTCGACATTTTGCTGCATAAATTAATTGAAAATATAGGGTGCCAAAGCGAAGGCCCCTTAATTAACTCTCTTGGTTTTTGTGATATGAAAATTGTTTATAGCATGCATTGCTTAGAATCGGTTCAGATGTTCCAGAGATCATCCCTTACGTACAAACAAATTTTACATCTTTCTTTTTTATTTAATGTTCTACGTCGCATCGACATCGAGGTCATTAGCGTCGAATTCTGGAATAACTTATATTTTGTGGAAGAGTTTGGTTTCGTTAAGGAATTGAATGGTATCTTTAATGTGTTTTTCGAGGGCGAGGGTTGTATGCAGGTTTTTTTCTTGAATTTGCGGCGTTGAGAGGAGAGTGTTTGGCAGTCGTATAAAAGTTGGTTTGTAGCGAGTGAGGTTTTACACCTTTATAGTGTCACTATTGATTAAAATATTTAGCTGTATTTAAATAAAAAATTATACTCACTCGAACGTTGGTTCTTGATGAAGTACAGCTGAAGTCGTTCCTTGAACGTGTTCTCGTTCACGTAGTATTCGACACGAACTCTGAAATCAAAAAGAACAATTAGTACATGACATCGGAAACATTTTGTTAAAGCGTTTGATAGTTAAGTAACTAGAGATGTTGAAAGAAAATCCTGTATATGTTTAACAATATAATATCGAAATTATTACAGTATATAACAAAGTTCGATTCATTCATTGCATGGAATAAGAAGCTATTCGTTTTTTATTTGTGTGGCCATCTTTGTATGCGCACAGATGTGTGTGTGTGTGTGTGTCCCTGACCATTAACACATGTTGTAATAGCATTCCTGAGTAAGATATTCAATAAAACTACAAACTGTAACAATTAATAAAACCACACACTTTATTGTTTAATAAAAACTGCAACATTCGTTACTCAAAATTGATATCTAGATAGTGGTTTTGACCATCGCTCGGTGACTGCAACAACCTTTCTTCAAATACGTTACGAGCAGGCCAGAACTTACATCATGCCTTCCGTCAAGCAGTCATTCCTAGGATCATCGTTTCGATTAATCGACCTTCTACCGCACTCTGAAACTAGTTTTGACATCACGACATTCCACATGTCCTGGAACGTTGTTTTAGAGTTATCCTTGGGTATTAACGTCACAACGACTCATCATTCCAGACGGAACACCAACTTTTCCAATTCCATTTTAACCACCATCTTGGATTCGTTCCATTAATCGCGAATGAAAGGGCCATGAATCGAATTCAGAAACAGTGCGGGACGATAGTTCAAGTACATTTGCATAAAGCGTACGCACGGAAGTATCCCAGCGGACTGCCGTTCTCGTTATCAAGTGGGAAGTCTCTGATTACCATTAGATAGTTAGAGCCGCTCTTCTAACAAGGAACATTTATGAAGTGTCCCCCTCCTTCGATTTGAATGAAACATTGCAGGATTACAGAACCAGGATTACAGATCCGTCCATAAGTCGCACCCTCTAAACTCTCTCTGACCGAATTCTATCTTACTATAATTAAAAATAAGTAACGTACCATTTCAAAAAATAAATTTCCTTTTTAAATCTCTCACCCTCTCCACTCCCCTTCAACAAAATTGTTTACTCCGTATAATGTCCCCCCTTTATACCGAATAACTTTAACAAAAACATTTTTTTATAGCTTCTTCCCCTCGTGAGATTTCCAACCATTTAAACAAGACCTCCAGCGTATTAAGTATTTCCCAATGAAAATTCGTGGATTTCGTTCGTTGAAATTTGCTGTTCTAGCATCCAGTTGAACCGATTCGATCGAACGGTCATCGTTCCGCAGTCGATCGTAAACCGGCTCAGCCGCTATTTATACCGACGGATAACGCGTCAGCTACGTCGAGAATAGCGTCGCGTGACGACATCGGGTCGGCGTCGACAGACGGTCTGTCGTACGCGGTCGTTCCAAGTTGTTGAACTGGTTCTTTGACCTAGATAACGTCACGAGAGTGCCTGACCTACGGTAGGCCGGTGAACGGAACGGGCTCAGACCGATCGTCGATCCGGGGGATGCCCACGCGGAGACCTCCGAGCTCCGAGAGGGTTGCTGGAGAAAGGTTCGCGGGGATGCATGTGGGATTGCAGTCGTGCGAAGCACGATACGGATAGCACTTGGCGCTGTGTCAGCGCGACGTTAATTTACACACCGTCTACTGAAAGGGTCAAGGTCAGCTGGGATTACGATACAGACCCTTTCGGCTGTTTCCTCTTTTAGGAAGTAATTGTATTTAACTAGAGTTGGCTATATAAATCCCAGGCTGTAGTTGTTGGATTTTCTCTTCACTAAAAGAGAAAGTTTTCGTTACAAAAACCATCTCTGCGCGTTTGACCCAAACGCACGTTGAAATTTCGTTCCTAGACAGAAGTCAAGAGGGTGCAGCTGCGTTCCATCTTGGGTTGTTTAGACAAAGTATGGGACCGATAGGGTCTATAGTACGAAGAATTTCGTTACTGATCTCACATTCATTCATTCGAGCTGCTTCTTTCGTGCAGAACCGACGTGCCCTTCCTAGTGTTTTTAATAAAGTTTTAAAGTCAACTGAAAAAGAAAAGTCTAGCTCATTTATTCCACCGCCTATATTCCAATAGTAATCAAGGGACAATTTGACCTATCGAACGAGGATGCTTTATCTTTTTTTTGATCAAGTGAAGATTTGCGTTAAACCTACAAATTTCAAGCTCCGCTTTAAAGGTTTACGTTACAATAAATGATCACGCATTAGGGTCGGTGAATTTGTCTAAACTGCGTACAGTATGAATAAAAATATTTAAGGTGTCGTTTAAAAAAATTACTTTGTTTTTTTATATCTTCTCCGCCACTTTACTTACAACAAAATTATACGCACCATGTAATTTATCCACTTGAACTAAAGCACTTTTGTAAAAAGATTTTTCTGGTAGCTTCGTCCCTTCGTGAGATATTTAAACATTTCGCTTTAAACGAATCCTTTCGTACCGCTGAGGGGAGAGCGAGAGAGGTAGGTCGGGAATGCCTTATACAGTAAAGACTGGATAAGTGCAAGAAAATCGGGACCCAAACATTGCAGTTATCCAGTCGAGGTTTTTATTCTGTGTTTACATTTGCCTCAAGTAGAGCGTAGAACGTAGAAAAGGACAGATAGTGAAAGAAAAAGAGGTCCGAGGAAAAAAAGCAGTGGACATAGTACCGAGTACAAGTACATAGTAGCACAAGTACGGGACTGAGTACTTGTGAGAAACGCGCACAAACAAACAGTTCAGTATGAATTGAAAAAGCAAACATAGAAATGCCCTTGAAATTCATGAGATTGCACAAGGGAAGTGAAATTTGAATAGTGCACAGCGTAGCCAAGTGCAAATAGTGTCATTCTCGCCTAAGCTCAACATTTACAGAATTATGCAAACGTTTTCGGTCACGTGGCCAACCCTGGTACATTCGACGCACAATTCCGACGTCATTGCGTCGTCTCGCAGCCACGGACAACATTTGCAACCGTCTAATTGACTCTTTCGTAACCTGCGACACTAAATACACAAACTGGGTGCTAGGTGGAATTCACGGAACACTGTAACTGGATGCCTGTGGAAATGTAGCATTAGAATGAGAATGAAAATGACAACAATCGGATTATAAGATAATGCTTGCAACCACTTGTGTGAAATTGAAAAAAAGTGTACAAGTTAAATGTCCAGATGGAACTAATTATGAAGTGATACAGATGGGAATATTAGAATTCATTAGAAATGTTTAAAGAAACAATTATAAATCAAGCAGTGGCAGGGTATATTTATCATTGTTTTGAACGAGACACTTATTTTCTGAAAGGAAGATCGGAGCAGTATATCAACGAAGAAAGATATATAAACTCTTGTATTTTCACTTGTGAGAAATTGAAAGAAGTGTACAAGTTGGATGTCCAGATGGAACTAATTTTGAAGTGATACAGATGGGAATATTAGAATTCATTAGAAATGTTTAAAGAAACAATTATAAATCAAGCAGTGGCAGGGCATATTTATCATTGTTTTGAACGAGACATTAATTTTCTGAAAGGAGGATCAGAGCAGTATTATTAAAGAAACACATATATAAATTCTTGCACTCTCTGTGAAAATTACGTCAAATTACATCCCCAGTAAGTTTGCTATATATTTGAAAAATTATGTAATATTACGTCGACGTCAATCTTGAAAAGCCACGTGAAATCAAAAATTGATATTTAACTACATTAGTAACAACGTCCTATACATTTGAATATGATATAATTGAATTACCTCAGTAATAATCTTTAGGATTTCAAGGATGTTGGAAAATTGATTCACTGGTCATCGACTACATGTATTGCATTTAATAATAACGGGAAATTACGAATGCGGTAGCAATCATCGATTGTCGCGTGTCGTGGAAAGTGTGAAACACGTGATAAGAGGAGCCGCGTTATCCACGACTAATTACAGTGGATGTGTCCAATAATAACCCTATTCGCCGTGGGTGTGCCGGTTGCGGTGGAATACGCCACGCGCGTTAACGGGCGAATGAAACTCGCGAAACGTGCGAAATGAATACGTGCATCCCTTCCCGTCGTTGCGTCGAAACTTTCGGTTAGATTGGGTTGCGCCGCGAATCGGGCATGCAAACGAAACCCGTTTAGTCAGTCATGAGTGATATCGCTAGAGAAACTGGCGTAACGTGTCAGCGGAGCCGTGATCGATTCGTGCCCGCTGTTTTTCAGACAGCACCGCCGCTACGTATACTTGTTCCGCCTTTGTCAAATCGATTTATCGAGCTCCTTACAGTGTCGCGACTTTTTGCGCGTTGGACAAACAAAAGGCTCGATAAGTCGACGGATAGGATTTCCAGTGCCGACGCGATGGCGTGAAACTCGTGAATACATTACCTATCCCGTATATCGGCTTTTTGCTTCGGCTTCTGCGCGATTCATACTGGCGACTTGAACTACCGGACACGCTCGTTCTCCCAGAATGAAGCGATACATCATGTTGCAATAAGAAGTGTCACGCGATTCCTTCAATGTATTCCTTCCAAGAATTTTCGCGTACAATTCACTCTAATAATAAATGAATTATAATATTTCGGTTCTGCGTTGGGAACGTTATTGATCGAGTCTCGTACAGTAATTGGAAACGAAAAATTCGAACAAACTATTATTTTATATTCGTGTGTTTTTTGTTTGACTTAGAATATATCGACGGTATTCTGGGTAACGATTGTGCAACGGCACAATCAAACAAAAAGAACAATGTACGTTTTCACTTTATTTTTATGTACATTTGGAAAAATACACAGAAATTGAGTTCGTGGAAATATCGTAGTCGTAAACGAAGAGCAAAATTAAAAATATAAAATTGGGGTTCCAGAATGGGGTCAGACGGTTTAATCATTTCTCGTCGTGCTTGTAAAACAGTTAGTAAGGGAGAAACATAAATAAACAAGTAACAGAGTATATTTGCCTTGGAAGAAAACAACGATTTCTTGTATTCGTAAAAGTAATTATTAACAATGCCTAATATTATAAAATC